TCTCAGGCTGTAAAGGAGACAGCAGGAGATTTGTACTTTCAGACTTGCAAGATTCTGTTAATGTAGCCTTATAATAAAGTAGAATTAGCTCATCTGGCCGTGTTTCCTGCCTGATCTACCTGGGAAGGCTGACAAACTGTGGATAATGCAGTTATAACTCTGATTAAAACACAGGGTGGATCTACTTTTTGCTTAAGAAATCCATTCAAAATATTGTTGCAAAAGATTAACTTAATAGCCTCCCTAAGATTTCTAAGTTACTGTATTGTTAAAGCATCCATACATCCATATATGAATATACTTTTTTACATAAACATTTCAGTGAAAGATGATCACATTTCATTATAAGCATTATATTTCATTCCATGTTCTCTCTTTTCTCTTTTTTCTGTATAATTAAAGGCAAAATATATTTTTAAAAATGCTTTTTTGTTCCTTTGAGTCAATCTTGATTGTAGCAAATATGTGGACAAGTCCATGCAATTTTCTTGGCAACTGCAAGACAGAGTGACTGGCCCAAAGCCATTCAGCTGACCTTATGCCTAAGCCAGGACTAGAATTTGCAGTCTCCCAGTTTTTAGCTGCGTGCTTTTAACCATGACACCAAACTAGCTCTCCAAAGTCCTTTCTTACAAAGTGCTAATACTTAAAAGATGCTTGCTTAAATAAGCATTGATATATTGTTAGTATCACATAGCATTTGTTACTAAATATACTCCACCAGTAGAGGTAAGCATGAGAAATAAATGAATGGGGAGGTAGGCTACAGTTGTAGATAGAGGAAATGCCCTTCTTGTTCTTGATATTTTTAATGCTATCTTTCATTTTAAAAGAAGCATCTATCTTACTAGCCTACTAATTGTTCCATGTGACAGAATTTAAGGTGTTTCTCACCTGTGTCTCATTGATATCATTTTGATTTTCCAAAGCTGGGGACTGGCAATATGATTGGCACGATGCCAAGATCACTGTGACAGCTTCAGATTACATCCATTTAAATAAACATGAACTTAAAAGATGAAACAACCAAGCCCACATCAGAATTGTAAAACTGTGTGAGTTGAACAGGATCCTTTGAGATTGCGCCATTCTTCCAGGTGTGAGGTCACCTGGAGATCACAGCATAAGATTTGTTGATCCGATGTGAGATCTTGGCCCTTTTAAATATATTTTCAGAACATTAGGTGCCCCTACTTTTGAACAAAATCACACAAAAATTCTTGGCTCATGCAAATGTTGCTGGTCTTTGGTCCAAAATATCATCAGAATTATAGTTGGATAACTGTGTGGATCACTCTTTCTCTGAAGGATCCATGGTCCTGTCCATTCCAATATTATTAATTCCCAGCATTCTCTGGGTGCAGAAAAAAACAGGTAAAAGCAATTTAAGTTTTTGATGTCTTCAAAGTGTCATGGCATGGGGGGCTGAGAGTGGGGAGAGGAGGACAACAGACTTCACTCAAAGGAAACTATGGCATGGTTTTCTTTTGCAGGGACTTCTCCTTTTGGAGTGGATTATCAGAAGCCCGAGGTATTTCTAAGTCACACCAAAAATTTCTATCTCACTTCTGAACCAGGAATCACTTTTGGCATTTGGTGAGTAAGTACCTGGCTCCATCAGCCTCTTTTGCGTAGGTTATATAGGTCCAACTTGGAGGTCTCTTGGTCATGCTCACTTCAGATCAGATCTGGGGCTAAGAGAGTAGTACTTCAAAGCAGCAAGGTGGGGCATTAATGGAAGAGTAAAAAAAGTCAAGACGGTGACCACGGCTGTACAATTGACCCCTTCTCCCTTTATGCATACATGAAGCATCCTTGATTGCATGGTTGCAGTTGCCATATTGACTTTTTTGACATCTCCTGTGATATCCCTGGTAGTGAAGAAGCTAGATCAATGTTACTCCCATTTTTGCATTGTTTCTGTTGATGTATGTGTGAATCTAATTCTTTTTTAAAATAAACATCTTAGCTTGTTCAGTTCATTTGTTGATTTGATTCATTAAGTAATTTGGACAAAGGTGGCTTACCTCCTCTTTCTTAACAATGGCAGGCCTGATGTTCTGGCTGAAGAGGTGTAATGGTATGTGAGAACGACCTTGGAAGACAGGAGGAACAGCCACAAACTGGACAACCGGGATGTAAAATATATTTCAGCTCACAGAAGGAGGGAGGGCATGGGAAACATTTCAGAAGGGACCCTCCCTAATATTCCAGAGACTAAAAGGAAAGGAGGGGAGAAATAATTTCTGTCTTGCAAGATTCTGTTAATGTAATCTTACAATAAAGATAGAGCTAGTACTCCTGGTTGTGCTTCTTGTCTGGACTACCTTGCAGGGCTAACAAGAGACCTGTCTGATCTGTTGGCTTTGTGTCTTAGGCATGCTGTACCAGACAGCAGACGGAAGGAAGCTGAAGGGAAGGACCTCAGCTGGTATGAAGAGGCCCTTGCAGATGATAATCCCATCATCATCTATCTCCATGGCAATGGGGGTACCAGGTGAATTTCATACTTAAAAGCAAAAAGGGAACATTAGTGCTGAGATTGTCTTGAATATGTGATCTGTGTTGGGGTGGCAATCAAGGGAGGGAGACAGTAGCTTCAAGTCTCTGCTGGCACAAGAAACAAGGACTTCAGCCTGCTTTATCATGGGCTGGATTTCTTAGCATTAGTTGCCAGCATTCTAAAACTTGCGATATTGTGATCCCATAAAATGCTAAATTAAGCAATATGATCTTCCCATGAATAAGGTTAATAATTTCATTAGTGCTAGGACTGTGCAAGAAATAAATATGCCATTTTAATCTATGTATTGTAGGGTTTCTCTTTTTTGGTAGTAATTTTATTAAATACAATTAAAAAGATAAAAACTAATAAAACTAAAAGAATAAAAGAATAAAAAAAGAAAGTGCAGAAAAGAAAAAATAGAAAGAAAAAAGAAAAAATAAGACTATACTAAGAAAAAGAAAAGAAATAACTTCCCCTTCATCAAAACAAGTATAAACATAAA